GGGGTGTGTGGGATTGTTGGATGCAGCCGCTTGCGGATTGCTGTTACTTTTGGCTGATCTGTGAGAAAAGGGGTGGAGGTGGAATTGTTTGATGCAGCCGTTTGCGGATTGATGTTACTTTTGGCTGGCATGTAAGCTCCAGGGCTCAAACCAAGAGAGATCACCCAAGCGCTTATATTTTGGCTAACTATGCTTAAGCAATAGGCCGCCGGCCAGACAGCTCTTGCACACCCGGAGCCTAGGCTCATTGCACAACCTCTACCTCTATCCCTCAACATATGGGTGACCTATTTGCTTGTAAAAATATAAAGCCTTTTCATTAATTAATAAAAAAAGGGGGATATGTAGGAAGCCGGTTCCTGCATTATCCCTTACAATAATAGGTGCCTGAAGACACCAAGATGTAAATTACTTCACAGGCGCTGGGTAATCTCCATTCCTTTGATCTCTGCCTATCCCGTGGCTCATTTTGGCCTGAGGAGCTGAAGCCATTCATAGGGCAACACGTCCCAGGCGGCTGGCCAGCCTTTATAAGGGATGGTTTTCTTGGTTTAGTGTCTCCGCTCTGGGAAGCTTTTGCTCTTTCACTCTCAAGATGCATTAAAGCTTGTCTGCAGAAGGATCCGAGTGTCCCGTGTATGATTTCTTGCTGGCGAGAAATACAGAGCGCGCGGGACATTTCCCAAACTATCTTCCTCAAGTATCTGACACAATGACAGAAGTCATGACTATAACACAATTATTAAAAGAAAGTACACGAAGATATTAACATGAAAGCCAAAGCCTTTTTAATTTGGTTGATAAACATTTAACAAAGTACATTAAAATCATCATCCATGAAGAGAAACAAGGTATTTACAATGACAAAACTGTGAGAAAGAAAATCAGAATGTTTCTACAGGTTTCGCTATGCTGCCCAGGCTGGGCTCAAGTGATCCTTGGCCTCTCATGTAACTGAGGCTAGTGTGTACTTCCTATCTATTCATTCATTTTGAACTGTGAGTCGGGATGACTTTCAGCTCCTTCTCATTATTACCCAGGTCTTAGCCCCAGCAGGGAGCATGGAAGGCTCAGGAGTAGGAGGTTTGGCAATTATGGATCATCTGCTAATGTGAACTGGCAGAGAAGCGAGTGAGGGCCAAGACACAACTGGAAATAACTACAGCTAAGCGTAGCCTTAATCACATGGTCTTCTCAGTCTTTGCAAAACCACTTAGGTATACTCAATTGTCCTATCAGCAGAAAACCAGTGACCCCTAAGACTCCAGCTCCACAACACCCAGGAAAGTATTAAAGATTCTTATACTGATTTTACATGAAGAAAGAGGATATGAAACATGATTCAAAAGTACTTATAAGGTTAACAAAATTTTTCTCAAATTTACTTTTCATGCTCAATTCTCAAACCATCTTTTTTTTTTTTTTTTTTGTTTTTTTTTAAGGTACTGGGGATTGAACTGTGGAACAGTTAATATTCAAAACATGCTAGGCAAGTGCTCTACCACTGAGCCCTCTACCTAATAGTTTTTATGATCTGAAATCAATCACACACACACAGAGAGAGAGGGGGGAGAGGGGGGAGAGAAGGAGAAAGAGGGAGGGAGGAAGGAAGAGAGAGGAGAAAGGTTTTAATTAGGTTTAAACTTGTTTACTAAATGAACTGCCTATCTCCTCCCACTCCTTGTATTATGACTAAAATGAGTTTAAGGATAATGAGTTATATCCATCTGGAATACATAACAGAAATGTATTGACTTATAAAACAGCCAGCCACATAAACAGGAGGTCACATAAAAAAAGTAACCAAGTGCTTATTCTTTATAACACTATTAAGACGAACAGGATACACTACACAGCATCTACTAGGCTATTCAACAAGCTTGAGTTTGGCAAAAAACATTGCAGAGCAGGTACTGTTTGAAAGTCACATCTGTGGCTCCTCCAATGGTGATTCAAGAGCTTCCATCAGCTTCTTATTTGCCTCTTCATTATGCCGGCTTTGACAATGAGTTAAATGTTTCTTAAAGCCTCTTGGGAAATTTGATTCAAAATTACAGCGTGGGCATTTAAGTAAACTTTGCCCATGGGCTGCTACGTGATTTTTAAGAAGAGACTCCAAAAGAAATGCTTTCCCACAAATTGTGCATTTGTATGGGCTATGAACATTGTGCTTATTAACTAAGTGATGCAAAACAGCACCTTTTTTCATGGCACGACAGCAACAAATTTTGCAATAATACTTCCCTTTTCCACGCTTCATATATTTTGCAATCTCTTCCTCAGAAATGAATGCCTCCTTCTCTTCAGTGAACTGAAGCACATTTTTGGACTGCTCAGGACTACTCATCTCCATTTTGTTTTCTTTGCCAAAATCAATAGATTCTACATCCACCTGTTCTTGGTCGCTGCTTGACTCCTGGCCCTTGATATCTATGGTGTCTAAATCTGTTCTGATGTACTCACTGCTACTGAGCTCAGCATCCGAGTTCTCTTGGCTGTCTTTCTTGAGCTTCTTGGAAGAAGGAAATAAAGCATCTTCTAACAGTTTCTTGGGTGTAGCCAGAAGCCCTTCCTGGACCACACTATCACATTTTGCATCATCTACAGCTTCCAGCTGTAGCTCCTCACTAAGCTCAGTGGCCTTCTGAGCATCAGAGAACACAGCAGATTTGGGGAGCTCAGGGAAAAGTACATGCTTCCGGGACTCTGGGAAAAGTGCACGTTTCCGTGGCTCAGGAGAAGCGGGAAGGACTGTTTTGGGGGGCTCAGGAAACAGTGTGGACTTCCTAGGCTCAGCATCAATAGAGAGGACAGGCTTCCATATGTCTGAGGTCACCTTTGGGGGCTCAGATGAGCCAGGAGAAGCATGTTTCCGTGCCTCGGGGAAGACACTAGGCTTCTGAGACTCTGTAATGAAGGAGGACTCAGGAGAACCACGAGAACTTTTCTGGGACTCAGAGAAATCAAGTGAAGCAGGAGAGCTTTTCCGCTGGTCAGGAGAAAGCTTCCGAAGGTCTGGGGACCCTGAAGGCTTCCTGAGCTCTGGAGATCCTGCTGGACTTCGGATCTCGGGGGAGAGAGGCGGACCTGGTCTTCGAAGCTCAGGAGGCACAGGGGGCACTGCCTTCCAGTGTTCAGGTGGCAAAGCAAGAGGCGTCTTTCGGAGCTCAGGGGGACCAGACTTCCATGACTCTGGGGATGTGGGGGGCGTTTTCCAGGAACCAGATGAAACTGAAGACTTCCAGGATGCAGAGGAAACAGGTGGAGCTGCCTTCCAAGGCCCAGGCGATACAGATGGTATTGGCTTCCAAGGTCCAGGAGAAATAGATGGAGCAGGTTTAGATGATTTCCAAGGTCCCGATGTCGCTGAAGGACTGGATTTCCAAGGCCGAGGAGAACCAGGTGGTCCTGGCTTCCAGGAACCTGGTGATACTGCTGGGGCTGGTCTCCGTGGCTCTGAAGTGATGGCAGGGAATGGCTTCCTTGGCTCAGGAGACTCTGATGGGGATGGCTTCCGAGACTCAGGAGATGCAGTTAGGGATGGCCCCCAAGGCTCAGGAGATGTGGCCAGAACTGGTGACTCTGGAGACAAGGCAGAAGGGGGGGCCCCTGTATCTGCAAAGGGAGAGTGCTTCTGGGGTTTGGAGCTAACAAGAGCAGACTTGACAGACTCAGGGGAAGCAGGACCAGCCTTCTGCAGCTCAGAAACCACACTGGCTGTGTCCAGGCATTCAGGAGAAGAAACAGAAGCAGTTTTTGAGGCCTCAGCAGGAAGACAAGGTGCCTGTGGCTCAGGAGAGACAGGGCCAGAATCCTGAGGCTCCAGGGCAGGAGGAACAGACTTCTGTGGCTCTGGAGACAAACTGGGACCAGTTTTCTGTGTTTCTACAGGGAGGGCTGGAGTAGGCCTCACTTCTGCTGGGTCAAAGGCTGTGCTCTGGTGTTCAGGAAGGGAAGGGCTTTTTACAGACTGGGTCTCTTTGCTCAACTGGTCCTTTGGCTTGTCACTCCACTTCTCTGAGGCCGAATGTTTGGCTGTGATGTGATAGTACACATTAGAGTACATCTTGCTGGTAAAGAAGCACTTATGGCAGTGGAAGAGCTTTGCACTCTTCTGGTAAAATATCAACTTGCCTAGTCCTCCAGTGTCCATATCATCACAAAACTCAGGATGGATGGAGCCCATGTGGATCTGCACATTCTCATAATCAGTGCCTCTAAAACCACAGTGATCACACTCCAAGCTTAGTGACGGAGTATGCAGTTCCGGGAACACTTCCATCTTACGCTAATGCAGATGGCTTCGTGTGTTTTAACAGCTTTCCACTCTGCTGTAACAGAGAGAGAGACAGAGAGGGAGAGAGAGATTATTGCAGGGACACTGTCCTCAGTAAACACTCAATGCACAGCTTCAAGTCCAGAAGGCAGAAGCTGCTGCACAAAACACTTCCGCAGGCTGCCCTGTGGGAGACTGATTCCTAACATGGTCCTCCTGACACCATCACTCAAGTATTTTCATCTACAGGCGAAGAAACTGCGTTTTCAGAGAAACCAACCGACTTGACTTCCTCTAGTTCAGGTTTAGGACTCTCAGGTTCTCAAAAATGAATTTTTTGTAGCTTTACACTTGATCCTAAAATCCTGAATCTACAAGCTGTCAACACACAAAGGTGATAACACACATCTTAACTTTAGATCCTTTCCAGGAAATAAATTAGTAAGTCTAGCTATGGAAAGGCTGTTTTAACCTGAATGGCTATCGTTTCTATCAGTTTTTGTAAGATTTATCCATCCTGGGATAAAAACAGATAAGCTGCTGGAAAGGCCTCTGAGTGAGACCCCACAGCACTTTCCAGAGCACTCCAGCAACGGTCAGACAGGGAATATTATGGAGGCTGGAATTGTAAGTCAGTGTTTTCACTGCAGCTAGTGTCACTGAGGAAATGTTCAAGGACACAGTGTGTGACACACATGGTTCATACTACATTTATCTGTGTCTAACCACTTTAAGAGTCCATCTAGGGCATTTTTATACAGAGAGTAAGCATAGAATTTTCTTCTACTCTTTGTGTAGTTTTGTAGAGAATATTTCATGGTTCAAAGTACTTGATTAAATTTAAAAATATGCAAGAGTACAGATGAGAAAGATTTCCCCAACTCCTCAAAAATGAATAACATTAAAAATCCTTGCTATATATAGGTGGAAAGTAGTATGTCACTACTGATGCTTAAAGTTTTCCTTTCTTCTTTGTTTACTTCCTTTAAAAAAAAAAAGGAAGGGTGTTGCTAGGTAGCACTCAATAACCACCTGAAAACTCAATATAATCCTCCTGCCTCAACCACATGAGTACTGGGGATTATAGAAGTAACCTACCACACCAGCTTTACTATGCTTTTCTTTTTAGTTTTTCAAGACAAGGGTTTCTCTGTGTAGACCTGGCTATCCTAAAACTTCAAGGCCAGCTTGGTCTACATGGCAAGTTTTAGGATAACTCACAGACATCCGCCTGTCTCTGTCTCTGCTGGGATTAAAATTGTGTGCTGCCAACACTCAGCTGACCTCAAACTGTTGATCCACCTGCCTAGACCTCCCACCTGCTAGGATTACAAATGCATCACCACATTTGGCTTAAATTATGCTTTCTTACCCCATTATTTTTTTCAATCATTTAGTATGTTTTTCCTAATTTCAATTGTTTCATTCTTCTTTGTAGACACTTATATCTTTGGTTTGTTGTTTTTCATTTTTATTTTATTTGAATGTCTTAAAAACTTTTTAAAATTTCAGAGATATGTACTGTATTTACATAATCTTCCCCATTGCAGTCCCTCCAATGTTGTCACTCCCCCATTAATTCATGGCTTATGTAATTTCAGGAAATATTAACCCACATTCTTGACAAGCACTCAGATTGCTGGTGCAACTAGTTCGAGGCTAGCCTGATCTACAGGGAGTTCCAGGACAGCCAGGACTATAATACAGAGTATTGTCTAGGTAAACAAACAAACAAACAAACAAACAAAAAACCAAGCCATGTGGTGGTGGTGGCCGCAGTGCATGCCTTTAATCCCAGCACTCAGGAGGCAAAGGCAGGCGGATCTCGTTGAGTTCAAGACCAGCCTGGTCTACAAGAGCTAGCTCCAGGACAGCCTCCAAAGCCACAAAGAAACCCTGTCTTGAAAAACCAAACCAAACCAAACCAAACCAAACCAAACCAAACCAAACCAAAAAAACAAACACAGATATTCTGTTCACCCCAACCATCACTGACATCCAGTCATCGTGAATATTATAATCAAGAGGACCAAGAACAGAAAGCAAAAGGGCTCTGTGAAAAGGAAAACACTATTTGGCCAGGCAGACAACCACTGCCAATACACTCCTGGTGAGTTCTAGCACCACCCTTCCCCCAACACCACTTTCACCCTGCAGCCCTGCCCCTCTTCTTCTCAACCCACCTGTGACGTACCTCCAAGTCATCTCCCAAACTCAAAAGCCCAATTAGTGTAAACTGCCTGCTCACAACTCCTTTGTCTCCTAGACACATTCAGTATAAATATAAACATGGCACATGACGTTCTTTAGTCTAATTCCTGCAGGTGCTATTCACATGTAATTCCCTGACTCTTCAAACAACAGCTCTTTCCCAAAGCTTTTTTTTGGTTTTTTGAGACAGGGTTTCTCTGTGGCTTTGGAGGCTGTCCTGGAACTAGCTAGACCAGGCTGGTCTCGAACTTACAGAGATCCACCTGCTCTGCCTCCTGAGTGCTGGGATTAAAGGCATGAGCCACCAACACCCTCCCCAAGGCATTTTTTTCTCCTTTATTGTCCATCTTGTTACCTTACCCAAAAGGCAAGTCCATTCATCCTTTAGACAGGTCCCACCTTAAAGCAAGGCACATTCCCACTTCCTCTCACTTCCCTTCAATCACAGTCAAGATGTGCATTTCCCACAAACCCATTACCACCTGTCCTCAGCTTGACTACATGCTAGGCCACAGCTCTCTAGAGCCAGGACAAGCCATCCATTTGTTCACCTCTGTAACCCTTTCATGTCCCCGGCAGTGTGTGCTTAGAAAGTACTTGAGCAGTCATAACACCGTCCCATGAAGACTGGAAACGTCCCAATCTTAAAACTCAAACTTTAAAACCAGGGAAGACCTGTGTTGCCCATTTCAAATATCAAGAGCTTGCCGGGTGTTGGCGGCCCACGCCTTTACTCCCAGCACTCGGGAGGCAGAGGCAGGCGGATCAAGACCAGCCTGGTCTGCAAGAGCTAGTTCCAGGACAGCCTCCAAGGTCACTGAGAAACCCTGTCTGGAAAAACAAAATACAAAAATAAAATCAAGAGCCTGAAGGAGGATCAGAAGTTCAAGGTCACCCTCAGCTACAGACTGTGTTTCAGGCCTGGGATACCCAGATCCTGTCTCAAAAATAAAAATGCATCAATAACTCCAATACACAGCTGAGGAAAGGGAAGACTAACACTAAATGTCCTATTCAATCAACATCAGGCAAATAATCAGAACCTGACAAAGGATAAGATATCCTCAGATACTATAATCAAACATAGAAAAGCCAGCACAATCAAGCTTTGTAATCCCTTATCAAATGCACAAACCTAGGGTGCTCCTCCAGTCTCCAGCTCTAGATAAGCATTTCTCCCCAAGACAGGGTTTCTCTGTGTAGCCCTGACTGTCCTAGAAATCACTCTATAGACCAGGCTGGTCTTGAACTCAGATTCGCCTGAGTTAGAATTAACCATCTTGGCCTTGCAGTGTGCAAGAATGCTTTTAAGAGTCTCTAATAGGCCGGGTGTTGGTGGCGCACACCTTTAATCCCAGCACTCGGGAGGCAGAGGCAGGCGGATCTCTGTGAGTTCAAGGCCAGCCTGGTCTCCAGAGCGAGTGCCAGGATAGGCTCCAAAGCTACACAGAGGAAACCCTGTCTCCGGGAAAAACAAACAAACAAACAAACAAAAACAAACAAAAAAAACTCTAAATAGGGGCCACGGGTGTGGTTTAAGGGAATAGCACTTGCCTACCATTAGCAATGGAAAGAATAAAGGAGGGAGGGGAATCCTAGCAAATATACAAACAGTTGGCAAGCAGTATTAAAAAAATAATCACTTATGAACACAGACATGTAATGTCATTAAAGAAAATTTATGGATAATACAGAAAAGCTTTACTTTTTGAAAAATTTATGTATCTGAGTACTTTGCTTACATTTATGTCTGTGCACTGCATGTGTACCTGGTACCCACAGAGGTCAGAAGAGTGCATCGGAACTAGGGCTACAGACAGTTGTGAGCTACCCTGTGGGTGCTGAGAATCAAACCTGGGTTTTCTGCAAGAAGAAGTTTTCTTAATCATTGAACCAGCTTCCCAGCCCCAGAAAAGTTTTATAAAATGCTTTATCATGAATTGGAACTGAAGGCACCAGCTCCCCGTTTCAGCAGCCATAGCAGCCGAACACCTTGCTTTGGTCACTAGGAGGTTAGGTGACTGCCTCGTGGCAGCAAACCAATCAGAAGTTAGCTGGTGGTGCCATGCTTTACGGCTCTGGGTGTGCTTTACGGACAAGTGCACAACAATGACACGCAGAGCAACCACCCTGGGAGAGCCTATCAGCCATAACAACCAGTTGACCAATCAACACAGGGCAAACCCTCCAAGCCTGGAGCCACACCAATCCTGAGCCTGTGCATACCCCTTGACACTCCCCTTACGCTGCCCTATAAGATCTCTATGCAGAGTCTTCGAGCTGTCTTTCCTAGCCATCCGCCATGGTGGGTGGATGAAAGACCGGCGTTAAACAACTATAATAAAGCCTCCTGCAGTTTGCATCAAACTTTCGACTCCATCTGGTGATTGGGGTGGCCAAGTTCCTGGACAGAGATCCTGGGGGCCTGAGTTCCCGGGGGTCTTTCAGAACCAGGTGTTTTGTCGAGTAGTACAATGAGAAATTAGCAATCAATACAGGACCAAAATGGCCTAGAGGACTTGGGCCCAACTTCTTCATTTTACAACAGAGAAAAAAGCTGAGAAAGGAACTCCATCTTTTTAATTTTGTTAGCATTCTTAAGGGCTTTTTAAATGAAAAAAATTGTTTACCTTCAATACATTCTGATCGTGATTTGCCTTCCCCAACTCCTCACAGATCCTCCCCACCAACTCAACTCCATACCCTTTCTTGAGAGAAAGTAACTCTTAAAAGGCCCGATTCCGAATCTTTGCTAACAATGCCCACAGACTAGAGCGTAGATTCCAGCACTGCCAACACTAACTGCAAAAATAACCCACTAAAGCCGGGTGTTGGTGGCGGACGTCTTTGATCCCAGCACTCGGGAGGCAGAGGCACAGTAGTCTTCTATACAATGGTACATTATAAGGTATCTGTCTCACATCTACCCCACACACTTTCTTCCTTGAGACCAAATACTATTTGATAGTTGGGTCTTTTTTTTTTTTTTTTTTTTTTTTTTTTTTTAAAAAAAAAGGCCTTTTTCCTAAAAGACAAGGCCTTTCTGCATAGCTCTGCTGTCCTGGAACTCACTATGTTAAACCAGGCTGAATCTGCTTCTCGAGTGCTGGGGATTAAAGGTGTATGCCATCATGCCCAGCCTTATTGATCATCTTTTAAAAATACATTTTGGGGGCTGGAGAGATGGCTCAGAGGTTAAGAACACTGGCTGCTCTCCGAGAGGTACTGAGTTCAATTCCCAGCAAGCACATGGTGGCTCACAACCATCTATAATGGGATCTGATGCCCTCTTCTAGCATAAAGTCGATAAAACATAGCCATAAAATAAATAAGTAAATCTTTAATAATGCATCTTGATATTGAAAGTTTAACAATGAACACGTGTAAGCTGACTGGCTGTCGACACCCTGGGGAAAGGGAGCCTCAGATGAAGAGATGTCTATCTGATTGGTTTATAGACAAGAAAATGTGGGGCATTTTCTTGATTTTCAATAGATATAGGAAGTACCATCCCTTTGCTGGATCAGAAAGAGAGCAGAACTGAGGCTGGGAGCAAGCCAGTAAATAGTTTCACTCTGTGTTTTCTGCTTGAGTCCCTGCCCTTAATTCCCTCAACAGACTACCACCTGTAAGATGAACTCTTTCATCTCCCAAATTATTTTTGATCACACATACTATGTAACACTGTTCTTTATGAATAGCTGTTTTTTTTTTAAAGGTTATAAATTTTTGACTGGTTTTGTGTTTAAAAGAAAAACGAACAGAAACCACAAAGAACTCCCACGTTCCTACATATTTTTTCCGACTCTATTAACAATTTGCGTTAATTAGTGGGGTAATTTGTAACGGCTGATACTTTTTGTTCCCTAGTGCCGGGATGGAACCCAAGGCCTCACTCTTGCTAAGCAAGGGCCCAACCAGCCAGCCCCAACCCCAGCCTAATTTAGGACGTCCACGGTTTACAGGCGAGGCCGCTCTTGATGCTCCAGAGCGATTTGCGCATCACCTGTGCTCCATTGAGGTCCTCAGAGTAACTTCACTGCTCCGAGTTCCTGACAAGCACGATTGGTTTACCTGGGGGGCACCGAGCGACCTTAAGTTTAAAAGAGAGGCAACGCTGGGCTGGTCCCAATTTACACTCCGCGGAAAGTGCCAAAGGGTTGGCCCTTACTCGGAAACACCGGGCTGGGCTCCCGGGACAAGGCTAACCCCGTCGGTAGTCCACGTGGGGGTGTGGCTTCTGCTGAGGGTCACCGGTCCTTGGGGAGTCTGGAGAGCAGCTTTACAGCAAATTCGAGACCCACATTGGCCCCTCCAACCCCGGCCGGCCATCGAGGCGGCAAGCAGGAGGAGCCCACGGTACGCTCCGGCCTCCAGGCCGCGCCGAGAGCACCAAGGCGCCCGCTCGCCCTCACCAAGGCGCCCGCCCTCCCGCCTTCAGCAGCCCGTACCGAGGCGCCCGCCAGCTCCTCACCCTCGGGCGAGGTTCTTGGAGTGAAGAAGAGGAAACGCCCACATGAAACGCCGGCCGGCCGCACGGCCTCGGGAATGGCGGCTGGACCGAAGACCAGCCGGGAAGTATCGCGCGCTCGCACCGGAAGTGCCTTCGCGTGCCTCCGGGTCTCTCCCTCCCCCGGCCCCTAAGGTTCCCCAGCTGGGCAGAGCTGGGGGACGCAAGCGGTTCTACCCCTGGCTTGGGGTTCCTGTCTCCACGCCTTCTTTCCTTTTTTTTTTTTCCCCTCCTCCTTTTGTCTTTTGTTCCTTCTGCTGAAGGACGCATTCGTTGGCATATTGTCTTTAATAGAAATGCAAAATAAATACAAAGCTTTTAGAAGACAGTGAACAGGTTTCTTGTCTCCAAATTCAAATTCCAGAAATCGTCTTCATTTGCAGTTGCAATGAATTCGCCTTTACATTACTTAGTACACCTATGTAATTTCTTTTTTTTCTTTTTTCTTTTTTCTTTTTTTTTGCTTTGGTTTCTTGTGTTTTGGTTTTGGCTAGAAATGAACCCAGTGCTTCCTCATTTAAGCACCCCATGCTGTCTAATACATAAAACATTCGTGGCTTTTGATTGGTTGGTTTGCTTTTCTTAAGACAGGGTATCTCCCAATGTAGTCTGAGATTCACCTGTCTCCGCCTTCCAGGTGCTGGACTCAAAAGCACTTACTTGCAACCACACGATCCCCTAAACCACTTTTGAGAATCCACTACTGACTACACTGAGTCATTATCCAAGGGTCGGCTGAATTCTTGGTCTTCTTTTTTTTTGGAGACAGGGTTTCTCTGTGGCTTTGGAGGCTGTCCTGAACTAGCTCTTGTAGATTAGGCTGGTCTCGAACTCACAGAGATCTGCCTGCCTCTGCCTCCAGAGCGCTGGGATTAAAGGTGTGTGCCAACACCGCCTGACTCACCACCACCTCCTTCTGTTGTGGCTCTCTGCATGTTTGGAATCAGCTCTTGTCAATCATTGGAGTTGGGAGATCTTGGAGAAGCTAGTAGAGAAGAAGAAGGGCTACTTGGCAACTCAGGGAAGTGAGATTCTGGAGAACCCAGGAAACCTATGGGTAGGGCACAGCAGGATCTATCAGAAGCAGAGAAGCAAATTTGGGAGAACTACGTGGTGAAAAGGAGCAGAACCTACCAAGTGGTACTGTGTACTGTTCCTTGTTAGGATACAGAAATGCAACTGATTTTGTGACCCTATATCCTGCTACTTTGCTAATTTATTTTATTAGCTCCTGAGAGTTTTGTGTGTGCATGTTTGGAATCTTCAGGAACATGTAAAATCATAAAACCTGAACACAGAGGCTTTTTAAATTTTGAATTCAATGTTCCTTGACGTCCTGGTTTGCTTCTTTGTTGCTTCGATAAAACACTAACCAAAAACAAGTTGGGGAAGGGTTTGTAAGATACTGAGGAAAGGCAATGAAGGAACTTAAGGCAGGAACTTGGAGTAAGCAGAGACCATGGGGAAATTCCTAGGATTGCTCTACTACCTTCTTTACACAACTCAGACCCACATGCCCAGGAATGGAACAGCCCACAGTCAGGGGTAGGGGTGTGTGTGGGGCTCTCCCCACATCAGTTAACCATTAACAAAATGCTCCACAAACAAGCCCAGAAGACAATCTGATGCAGAAAATTCTTCAGCTAAGGCTATTTTCCCATGAGTGATCAGTTGAAAACCAAGATTAGCTATCACATTTGCCTAACTATTCAAGCTAGAATTTTCTATGTTAAATGGAAATTACAATAGCAAGACTCTTTGAATTGTCACTTATGTTAGAAGCTTTCAGTTTTGCACCATTGAGTGTGACGGACTTTTCAAGAATGGATGTTAGGGCTGAAATAGTTTGATTCTACTCCTAGTTATTTTGTTGTTTCTATGTATTCATCATGAAAACAGAATTTGACAGAATTGTCTTTCTAGATCAATTAAAAACAGTCAAGTGGCTTTTTGCTCGTTCTAACAATATGATAAAATGTAGTGACTGATTTTTATATTTTGAACCATCTTTGCTTTCCAGAACTGAGTCCCACTTAGTTGTAGTACAGGATCATCTGATGTGCTGATGAATTAGATATGGTAGTATTTCACTGGGAAATTCTACATCAATATCATCTCTTGATAATATTAGATATTGAGCTGTAGGAGGCAGTCACTGGCCAGCTTTTGGATGTACCCCAATAAGAATCAAGCTTGCTTCAGATTTACCTCAAATTGTAGTAGTGGCTTTATTCTTTTTTTTTTTTTTCCCAAGGTAGGGTTTCTCTGTGTAGCTTTGGGGCCTGTCCTGGAACTCATTCTTGTAGACTAGGCTAGCCTCTGCCTCCCAAGTGCTGGGATTAAAGGCATGCACCACCACCACCCGGTGGTTTTATTCTTTGACATTGGGATTAATGCCCTCTGGGATTATAACACTCTCTTTTGGTTAATATTTTAGTCATTTCCAACCTATTTTGTTTTCAGGTCTATAGTTAATCTCTATTTTTAAATTTCACTTTGTTTTCACTTTTTGAGGCACTGGAAATCTAACCTTGTGTGCCTGAGACCTGCTTTGGTGAGGGCTCAGTCCCCAAAGATGCCGTGTGGAGTCTGTGGCTGTGGTGGGGGATGGGATGAGGGCACGATCTGAGGGTGAATCCCAAATCCAGATGGCTTCCAACAGTATTTATTAGAATAATACCTTTTACATTCTAGAGTTGCTCACAGTGAGCTGGGTGTGGCTTTGAGTTCAGGGGCTGAGGAATCTGGCATTGACCTTGACAATGGGCACAAGTCATACGTTAATGGCGGGCCACAAGTTCCTCTAGCAAGCATTGACTTTTCTCAAGTATCCAAATGCCTGACCTTGGCAAGGACTTCTTCCAGGGACCAGACACTATACTACAATTTAAGAGCAATTTTCATTCCTGAAGGGAATAAGTACTGCTGCTCCCTGACTGTGTCCTTTGTGTCTTAGTCTTACTGTATGGGCCTGATCCCCTCCTACACTCCCCAAAGGGAAGGTCCTGAAGTCTTACTCATTTTCCATTGTAGTAACATTCTGATTTCTCTATACTAACTGAAGTCTTGCTCTTAATGGCCTCTGAATTGTAGGCATTTCATCCTGGGGTCAGATGTGTCTAGTAAATCTCTAGCTTTCTCATTCTTGGTATAATTACAAGGGCACGGTGGGATTCCTGATTCCATGTGATGGGGACTCCCCCCCCCCAAGAATTAGTTTATTTAAAGAGGCTACCGTTTGTATGTTTTCATCCTTCCACACTCTCATAAAATTTCCCAAAGGAAAATAAAATAGTGAGAGTCATTAATAAAAAGGTGCTGGAGAAGTGTGGTTGCAATGTGGAAATGCTGGAACTTGGTCAAGCAGTTGGTCGCCATGGGGTCCCAGTCACTTGTTATTCTAAGTGAGGCTGTTTGTCAACTTCGGGAAATATAGGGGTGTGTACAAGTCCTTGAAAGACATTTATAGCAGCTCTGGAGGGTAGAGGGGACCATAAACTGGCAGCACCTGATGCAGGACTGAGGACTCTAGCAAGTTCCCAGAAAGCACCAGAGCTGCCTGCTGCTGGGTGGAGAACCCCACTGTAAGGATTACCTGAGATGAAAGGACAAAGGGAACTTAGGTTTGGGTCCTTGTCCATCGGAAAATTTGGCAAGTTCCAGTCTGGGGCTGGGGCCAGGACCTCAAAGGAGTTTCAGCTCCTGGGAACCCAGCTTCCCCTCACCCACCCCTACCCCCATGGCCTGTGGCCTTAAGGCAGCTGTGTCTGAGATGTCCTGTGTTCTTTGCCAACACTGATTTGGCTTTCTGTTGGTGTGTCCCATTTCCCCCTACTAATAGTATATAAGATGCTGCACCTCTTTTTTTTTTGGGGGGGGGGGCGGCGGTGTTGGGACAGGGTTTTTGTGTGTAGCTTTGGAGCCTGTTCTGGCACTCAGTCTGTAGACCAAGCTGGCCTGGAACTCATGGATCCACCTGCCTCTGCCTCCAGAGCGCTGGGATTAAAGGCGTGTGTCACCACTGCCCGCCAATGCTGTACTTCTTAAAAACCCTGCTTGGCATAAGAAGTAGCTTGTGTTAGACTTCCTGATTCTAAACTTTCCCGTCTTCTCA